TAGTTTGCATTTTGTCTCTGCAGGATTATGTCGTTTGGGGAAATGAGAGCGACTTTTATTGGATTGGGTGCAGTGTTAGTCTTTGATTTGTGTTTGGGGAAGTAGAGCACTTTATGTCGCACCTTGATTGGTTTCACTTTGTGTCTTGATTGGTGGGAAATTCTGCATTTATTCTCACTTTTGCTTTGATTTAGGTTGATCTTGCCATTTATTTTGTTTTTCCTTTGTTGTGATTGGAATGAACTGGGATTTTATGCTTGCATTTAGCTTGAATTGGGGGGGTGAAATGAAACTGGCAATTTACTTGTTGGCAGTTTTGTCTTTGATTTGTGTTTGGAAATGAAACTGCATTTATTGTTTTCATTTTGTCTTTGATTTGGGTTTGGAAATGAAACTGCATTAGTTGGTTGCATTTTTGTCTTTGATTTGTGTTTGGAAATGAAATCTGATTTATTGTTGCATTTTTGTCTTTGATTTGTGTTTGGAAAATGAAACTGCATTTGAGTTGTTTGCATTTTGTCTTTGATTTGTGTTTTGTGAAATGAACTCGGCATTTATCTGTTTGAGTTTGTCTTTGATTTGTGTGTTGGAAATGAGCATTTATTGTTCTTTTGTCTTTGATTTGTGTTGGCGAAATGAAACTGCATTATTGTCATTGTCTTGTTAATGAACTGATTTTGGTGCTTTGTCTTGATTTGTGTTTGAAATGAAACTGCATTTATGTGTTGCATTTGTGTCTTGATTTGTGTTTGGAAATTGAAACTGATCTTATTGTCATTTGTCTGTGATTTGTGTGGAAATGAATTCTCGCATTTATTGTTTATCAGTTCTTTTGATTTGTGTTTTGGATAAAGACTCAATTTATTGTTTGCAGTTTGTCTTGGATGGTGTTTTGGAAATGAAGCTGCATTTATTGGTTTCATGTTGTGTCTTTGATTTGTGTTTGAATGTGCATTTGTGCGTCTAGTGAATGAAACTGCATTATATGTTCCGAATTTGTCTTTGATTTGGTGTTTGGAAATGAAACTGCATTTATTGTTTAGTCATGTTGGAACTGAATGTTTGTACTTTGATTTCGTGTGATTTTTTGGAATGAAAACTGCATCAATTGTGTCATTGTGTCTTTGATTTGTGTTGGAAATGAAACTGCGATTTATTGTTTGGCATTTTGTTCGTTTGATTTGTGTGTTGGAAATGAAACTGCAATTTATTGGTTTCATTTTGTCT